AGTACTTACCACTAATTTGTATTGATTCTTCAGTATTTCCAACTGTACGGTAAAATTACTATAGATTAGTAGTCGATTATTTTTTTGATTTCTCGGCCAATATCGGGTTTCGTCTCAACTAATTTGGATCGATTCACATCGTGCACTTGAAAATAGTAGATGAATCTCTTAACGAAAGCTACTACGTACACAAGATCTCGAACTCGAGATCTTGCTTAAGCTGGAACAAACCGCTTACCACTTGATTCAACCCCTCGTTGGTTTAGATTAGTACTCGATGGTTTAACGTAAGAGATAAGTTTATTGAGGATACACTTGTAATTTGACTACTTGGACTGCGCCCTTTTTTTTATCACTCCAGATTATAATCACATCTGTTGATTTGTATTTTCCTTATAGCATCTAATTTCTAAGCTGGTGCTGGTGTTGGTGTCTCTTGTTTCCATTGCATAAGCTCTCAGTCTCACCCAAATTGTTTCCACTGCTTGACCAGAACAATCAGATTTCCATTGCGAAGATCTGTCTCTCCTGCAAACTATAACTAAGCTAATTGTTTTGAGTTTCTTCCTTCTCTTTCCCCGAAGGCAAATTAAGGTAGATATATCTCGAATCTCTCTTGAGGTTTTTTTTTTTTTTTTGGTTATATTTTAAATTTCAACTTTTCATGGTTTTATTAACAAATAATAATAATCTTCTCCTTTGTTTGATCAATTCAATCATATTTTGCAGAGTCAAAGCAAAACTGAAATAATCTCCTCTCTTCTTTACAAACTTTGTGACTCTCCTTTGCTCTTCCCCTCTGATCAGCTTGAAGCATTAAGGAAATTAAGCTCTACTTTGATGAAGGTTCGCCAAACCTCTCTATAATATCTTCATGTTAGTTTTTGTTAATAGATCTGTTTAATTAATTTCTTGGTAAATATTAATTTTTTCATAAAACATCATAGCTTTGAGATTAATGACTCTTCAAAACAACAAATGTCTTTCACTCATCAAACACATGTTCTATTTGGTTTATGGTTGTATGGTTATAGTTTTTTGTTTTTAGTTTTGATTTTCATAACTTTTGTAATAAAAAAAAAGTGTTTTATAGAGTTTATTGTAAATTAAAATTATAATTTATTTTATGAATTTTTTAAAATACCTGTAATGAAAATATTTCTTAAGTAGTTTTATTAATGATATTTTAATAAATTTACATAACTGATTGCATTTTAATATATAATATGCCATGTAAAATATAAATCCCTTTTGCAATTTTATACAAAAAATAATTTGTTTGCCTTTACATATTTTTGTAACATACTATCATGATTATTAAATAAATATAAATAAAAATAATTTTAATATTATTAAAAAAGTTTATATTTTTCTGTTATCAATATATTACAATTTGTCATAAACAAATTATTAATTTTTTATTTTTAATAATTACAAAATTTATAAAAATTAAAACTAAACCAAAATTCACAATCATATTAAATAAAGACTTATTCAATAAATAAAAGCATCTAACCACTTATAATCCTAATAAAATTACAAAAATGAATTTATAGTCCTTTATGCACTGTCGGCTATGATTTATTAAATTAAAATATATTTAATGAAACTTCTCCTTCGTATTATATTTTTATTGTGCAAGTTCCAACTAATAACATGATTTTTACCAAATTAATAAGTTAGAAAAAAAATTAAATAAATAAAGAACAAAATAAAAATTACAATATTTTGACCCTTTAAATATTAAAATTTTTTTTATAAAATTATTTAAATATTTTAATAAATTTTTTTATATATTAATTTATTAAAACTATTTTAATTTTTTATTATCATTATTAAAATTTTAAATACTAAAACGTTTTTGATTTTCTTTAATCAAATAAATAAAAGATTTTTTTGTTTTTAAAAAAAAAACGACTTGATGCATTCCAGGAAAGCAATAATAGCAATATGGGTGAAATGGAAAAAACAGGGTTTGATGCTTTTCCAGGAAGAATCGTCCAACTCGTCTTGTCGTCATTTGTTACCTTTTAAATTCTCAGTCTCTCTCTCTCTCTCACATTTTTAATTTTTAATTTTTTTTAATATTCATATCATTTTGTGGGTCCTTCAATATTTCTTTAACAACAAAATTATTAGGGGTTAAAGTACTGTTGTTTACCTGAACTTTCAAACTTCATGAAAATTTGTCCCTTCAGTTTTTTAATATTTTTTTCTTTTAACTCTTTAATTTTGTATGGAAAACCTTTAAGTTTACTGATTAAATCTCTAAATATAAAAGATTTTCTCATCCATCAGTGAGAATTCAAATCTACATAACCCTTTCCTTACCCCTTTTCTTTGCAAGTGGAATTACTTACTCTGTGTTATAAAAAAAACTTTTTAATTTGGTTTTAAAGTAATTTATTCATTAATTATTTGAAAAGTTAAAGAGACCATTTTGGTACTAAATATTAAAATTAATCTAGTAATTTCAAAGTTGGGGTTGGTGTCTCATATATTGTATCCATTGCATATGCTCAGTCTCGCCAGATTGTTTCCATTGCATGACCAAGACAATCAGATTTCCACTGCTTAGATCCTTCTCTTCTGCAAACTGTCACCATCCTTATTGCTGTGTATCTCCCTTTCTCTCCCTAGGCCAAATTGAGGTATATATATACTTCTGACCTCTCCTAATTTTTTCTTTTTCTTTTTCTTTTTATTCTTATGGTTTAAATGTTAAATTTCAATTTTTCACGATTCTGTTAACAAATAATTATTATCTTCTCCGTTGGCTAATCAATTTGATCAGATTTTGCAGAATCAAAGCTCAACTGAAAGAGCCTTATCCTCTCTACAACCTTTGTAACTCTCCTCCCCTCTTTCCCTCAGCTTGAAGCATTGAAAAGAAATTAAAACTTATATATTTTGGAAGGTAGGCATACATCTCTCTAACATCTTGATGTTAGATTTTGTCAATCCATCTGCTAATTAATTTCTTTGTAAATATTGATTAATTTTGAATAAGTTTTTGCTTCTTCCAACTCCTAATTAATTAATAAATTTCTTTTTTGTTCAAAGGTCTTTCTAACCAAATTAAGGATACATTAATTGTAAATTTTCTCTATTAATTTAAAAAAAATTAATTTTATTTTTAACACTTACGGTGCATGGATTTTGTTAATAATAAAGTCAACTTTTAGTCACAATTATAAACTCACAATTTAAGATAACATTATAACTATGTTTTTTGTTTTTTTTTGTTTTTTTCATAACAATTAATAAAATACATATTAATTTTTTTTTAATTACATACAATCTTTTTAAAAATTTTCCACTCATAAAGTAATTACATCATGATATATATATGAAATAGCACCCATTGGCTTTAACTTCAAAAAATAAAAAGAAAAATCACTCTTAAACTAAGTTTAAGCAGTTTCAATAAACTTTTATTAAGTAAAATTAAAATATTTTATTTTTAAAATATGAATTAAATTATTTTTTATCTTTTGCTTGATATTTCATTAAGATGAATTTATTTTAAAATAATTTTTTAGTAAGATAAATAAGCATTAATCCCATTTATAAAATATATAAAAAGATGAATGGTTGAATTAAATATATAAAAGATACAGAAAGTCGAATGGTTGAATTAATTAGCTGTTGAAAATTAAAGTTTCCTTCCTTTCTTCTATTGTATATATATACAGAACTATTTCAAGCCATTAATTGTTTCTTTTCTTGCAGAGAACTTGTCGTTTTGATCCAATGGATGTCGCAACTAATCTTGGAGGTGCTCTATTGTCTTCTACATTTAGCTGGCTACTTTCGAAATTGGATTCTAATGATCTCAGTGAATTATTGAATTCACAAAAGTATGTACGTAAAGAGGTGGCAAAGTGGAGAACTCTTTTACCCAAAATACATGCTATACTTGAAGATGCAGAACAGAAGCAAGCAACAAACAAGTTGGTGAAGTTATTTCTTAGCGGTCTCAGGGACTTGGCTCTTGACATGGAAGATATCCTTGACGAACTGGAGCTCGATGCCAAGCGCAAACTGATTGCAAGTCCTAAAGCCAGCACCAGCATCACACAAAAACTCACACCGAAGTGGGTTAAAGATCGAGAGATTGCTTCCCAGATAAAGAACATAACTGCTAGACTGCAACATTTTGAAGGCGAGATAAGGACTTTGGACTTGATTAAGTTGGCTGTGAATGTTGAAGCAAGTTCTAGTCAAGCTGTTGCAGATAGATCACTCGATGCTGCCATGCCCGAATCTCATATTGTTGGTCGAGAAAGTGATAAAGAGAAAATCTTTCAGATGTTTGATGACGAAGGCAATCATGAAGGATACTCTGTTATTCCTATTATCGGAATGGGGGGTCTAGGCAAGACCACTCTGGCAGGCCTCGTTTATGATGATGATGGAAAATTGAAGGACTATGGGTTTGAATTGAAGGCTTGGGTTTGTGTTTCTGATGTATTTGATGTTGACCAAATTACAAGGGTCATTCTACGGAAAATAACTGGGAAAAAGTATGATGTAGAAGATCTTTTTTCACTACAACAGGATCTGAAGAAAGAACTCTCTGGGAAGAAGTTCTTACTTGTACTGGATGACATTTGGAATGAGAAGTATCGAGAGTGGGATGTACTACAAAGACCTTTCTCACAAGGAGCACCTGGAAGTAAAATCATCGTAACAACTCGAAGCATGGTTGTTGCAAAAACCATGAGAGCAGATGATAAAGTCTACAATTTAGATCTTCTTCCAGAGGATGAATGTTTGTCATTATTTGCTAGACATGCATTAGACAAGGACAATTTTGATTCTCACCCAGAACTAGAAGGAGTTGGCAGGGAAATTGTAGAAAAATGTAAAGGATTGCCTTTAGCTGTGAAAGTCCTTGGTGGCCTCTTGCGTGGTAAACCGTATCATCAGGAGTGGGAAGATCTGTTAAACCGTGACTTGTGCAATCTACCCGAGGGCCAAAGTGGCATTTCTGCAGTTCTGAAATTGAGCTACAACCGTCTTCCTCCTCACTTGAAGGCATGCTTCAGCTTTTGTGCAATATTTCCTAAGGACTATGAATTTGACAAAAATGAGTTAGTTTTGTTATGGATGGCACAAGGTTTTTTGCAACAACCGTCACAGGGAATGCAGCAAATGCATGATCGTGGCCATCAATGTTTTAATGATTTATTATCAAGATCAATTTTTCAACCATCAATCAGAGATAGATCACAGTTTATGATGCATGATTTCATAAGTGATTTAGCTCAAGAAGTTGCTGGAGAAATATGCTGCAGTCTTGATCAACTGAGCTTGGGTGATAATAAGGCTCGCCATTTGTCATTTACTCCTTTCCAATATAATGTATTGAAAAGATTTGAAGTCTTGAATAAAAAGAAAACTCTGCGGACACTCCTTCGGTTGAAAGGTTACAAATATCACTACATGGCGAAAGAAGTTGTAGTTGGTATATTGCCACAATTGATGTGCTTAAGGGTGTTATCTCTTGGTGGGGTACAGGAGCAACCAAATTCAATCGGATCTCTTGGTGGGGTACAGGAGCTACCAAATTCAATCGGAGATTTGAAGCATCTACGATACATTGACCTGTCTTATTCATCAATTCAAAGTTTGCCTGAGTCAGTGGGTTCCTTGCTTTTCTTACAAACATTGATATTGCATGACTGTAGAGGGCTTGCCAGGTTACCTGCAACAATTGGGAATCTAATTGACCTCCATTATCTCGACATTACTGATACGCCGTCTCTAACCGAGATTCCGTTGGAGGTAGCTAAATTGAAAAGTCTTGTGTTACTGCCCAAGTTTATTCTGGGGAAAGCTGATTCTGGATTAAGATTGAAAGACTTGAAGAACTTGACAGGCCTTCAAGGTCGACTTTCCATTTCAAATCTCCATAATCTTTTAGATATCGAAGATGCCAAGGATGTCAAGCTGTACAACATGAAATTGGATGATTTATCCTTGGAGTGGGCTTCTGTTTGTTCTGATTCCCAGAGTAAAGTGAAAGACTTCCAAGTCCTTGAATGCTTAAAACCTGGTCAAAGATTGAAAAGGTTTACGATCAATTGCTACGGTGGGGAAGAATTCCCATCCTGCATAGGTGATCCATCCTATTCCCAGTTAAAGTTCTTGGAGCTTCGTGATTGTCAAAATTGTACATCATTACCATCACTTGGGCAATTACCCCAGCTCAAAGAATTGATTATTAAAGGAAGCAAGGCTGCAACGCTGACTAGGGATGGTGACAAATTTTCCTCCAGTAATTGTTTTTTATCATTAGAGAAGCTGGTGTTGGAGGACTGTTGCTTGTTGGGAAAATTACCAAAAGAACTTCCATCTCTTAAAGAGCTTTTGATTGTAAGATGCCAACAGTTAACGTACTCACCGGTGAGTCTTCCCTCACTTAAACATTTGTCTATAAGAGAATGTAGCGAGGTAGTTTTGAGGAGTATGGTTGATCTCACTTCCCTTACCTACTTGGGAATTGTCAAAATTTCGAGTCTGGGCTTTTTGCCTAAGAAGTTTTTAGAGTCAATGGTAGCACTTGAAGGTATGTGGATCGATAGTTGTGAGGAACTTACTTGTTTGTGGGAGGAAGGAGCAAATATTGCAAACCTTGCACATCTTAGGCGGTTGTCAATCGGTTGGTGTCCTCTGCTTACGTCAGTGACAGTGGAACTCAAAAGCCTCGTACAATTATCTATTTGGAGTTGTCCTAATTTCAAATTGTTTCTAAGTGGTCAATTGCCCGCCACACTTAAAAATTTGAAAATTGAGTGGTGTGAAAATCTAGAATCTCTACCGGAGGGATTGATGGATGATGGTAATGGAGATAACATGCTGCAGCTTGAAGAATTATCTCTATGGAGGATTGCAACTCGGAATTTATTTCCAAGCGGCTTGCTTCCTTTGGATCACATGTCTAGCCTCAGCACTCTCACTTATTTAACAATATATCATGTTGAAGGTTTGGAGTCGTTCCCAGAAAGTGGTCTGGGCATGCCTAATCTTAAATCTCTGAGTATTTTTTATTGTAAGAATCTCAGGTCCCTGCCCAATAGAATGCACAACCTTACATCTCTCCAATCATTAAGTATATTGTCGTGCCAAAGGATCGAGTCCATTCCAGAAGGTGGTTTGCCCACAAGCCTAACATTCCTTAACATTGGTTGTGAGAATTTGAAACAGCCAATCAAAGAATGGGGGCTCCACAGGCTTACCTCTCTTGAAAGCTTCCACATAGGTTGGATATGCCCTCCAGGTGATTTGCTTCCTACTTCTCTAATCTATTTTGGGATATATCATCTAAAAAATATGAAATCGCTATCTAGAGAGCTCTTCCAAAGCCTCAGCTCTCTTCAACAACTCTTCATTCGTGACTGTTCGGAGCTCCAGTTCTTACCGAAGGAAGGTCTGCCTTCCTCGCTTGGGCGTCTCCAGATCCACAACTGTCCACGGCTAGCACAACGGTTAAAGGAGAAGCAAGAATATCGGCGCCTCATAGCCCACATCCCCTGTGTCGAGATAGATTGAAATTGGGTACAATAACGCCCTTCTCAGAATTAATTTAGGAATTTATTAGCTTATTACCATGTTCTTCGAACTTGCCTTTTGCTAATTAATGTATTAATTTTTTTTTTTTTTAAGGTGGTCGAGCAATAGCAGAAGCACACAGATTTGCAAATCAAACTCTCTCTCAATCACGCCTTTTGTGCTTTGTGGTAGATAGACATCCCTTCAAATTTATAAACTATTGAAGTTATATAAGAGGAGGAATATGTAGCTGCAAGGATGATGTATGTTTCTATCTTTTATTTTGAAGAAATTGTTTTTTTTAATTAAATTTAAAATATATAGAATAGATAAAGATAATGATGAGCTTGTAATCTGATTCTCTCAAGCTCTAGCATGCCGTGTTGTGAGAGTTTCAAGTTGGAAGGAGGACTCATACCGCATTTCTATTAGCAAGTTTCTTTAAGCAAGGCTGAGTTATATAAAATGCTAATACAGATTTGACTGTTTGATTTTCTTGATAATTTTGTTCAGAAGATCAAATTTGTTAACTAAATTCTGCTTAATATGAAGAAAGTTGTATGATGAATTATGATATGTTGAGTGATATAAAGGCATTTTCATTGCATGACAATCAAAAACTTTATCTCGGATGAAAAAAAAAAAAAAAAAAAATTGGTTTCCTCTGGATGTTGGGAATTCCTAAATTATTTTTTTCTGATATACATTTTGAAGAATTTCAAGAAGCTTAATGTTAGAAAGCTTAATCTGTTTATAATGTATTTAAAGTCCGCCCTTCTATTTTTTCTGGATGTATAAAAGATGTTACATTTTTCCTATTCAGGACTCTTATGAAAAATTTGGTATTTATAAACTTCTGTCAACAATACAGGGCTGAATGAAATTAAGTAAAAGGAAATGTTGATTTTTTAGTTTGATTTTGTTTAAATTTTTCTCAGGAGATTATATGATAGCTGAAGTACTTGTATAACTAAAAAGAAATATTGCGCACACATTATTATTTGCTAAATCACATTGATTCCTTCTTTTCAGAATCCAGAGTACAAGACTGAAGACTATACAAGAGAGAGATCGTTTATGATTAGAAGCTGAAGGCTCTTTTTAATGGGAAAATAAGTCAGTTTCCAGAGATTTTGGAAAGTTGCTATACCCCCTGCCAGCAGTTTGGAAGACTTACTTACTGCTCAAATTTCTGTTGTGCAACATTGTTGAGGAAGCAAGCTTTGCTATGTGTTCTATCTATCTGAATCATTTTGTTATCCCAGGCATAGCTTCCGTTTGCAGTAAATAAATGTGTTGGAAGCAGAAGACTAGCTTTTGTTTTTCATTTGGTTTCTGATATGAATTCACCATTGATGGTAAGACGTTTAAGAGAAGACATGGACAGGCCCCAATGTTTTACGACTCTTACCTCAAATGGAACATCCTCAGCGTTGAGATAGATGGAAAATGGGTACTACCATGTTCTTCTCAGAATTAATTTCGGATTTATTATTTCCATCTTCTTCCAACTTGCCTTTTACCTTATTGATCTATTCTTTTTCCATTTTCCAGGTGGTTTTGCAACAGCAGCAGGACATGGATTTCTGAATCAAACTCTTTCTCAATGAAGATTCTGTGCTTTGCGGTAGGAATTACGGTTGCCTGTGTTCATTCAGTTTAATTTATGTAAAGAAAAGTCGCATTTGGCATTTGAAAGTTTCTTTCTACAAGATTTGAGTAAAAAGGTTATCCTGATTTCATATTTACTGAAATACCATTTTCTTTGATGAATATGCGTGACATATTATATAACATTCCAAATAGAATAATATAAA